AAGGGAAAGAATGCCTGGGCCTCTAGGCATAATTATGTTTATACATAGGAAGGAACCATAGTGCAGTAGCAATAGCAATGGATTCTAAGTCAGGAAACTCAGATTCTAGCTCTGCCAAATATTAGCCAACAAAATTTGCACAACTTATCTTTTCAGGGCCTTGATTTCCTAATAACCAGGAGGGACTGAGAGACAACAGTATGTCCACAATTATCTTAGGGATCATATAAGTTGAGCTGTTTATTACATATTTATTTGTTAACTTAAGTGGGAAATGTTAAGGTCAGTTATAAAAGTTGACACATTTTATACCAGAAAAATATGCCTTCCCATCTTTAATGTTTGACCATATCATGGACTTGACTACATTAGATGAAATAACATTATCTCAATCAAAAATAAAATGTGTTGGCATCTTTTGCTTCTTAGCAAATTAATGATAATTTTAAAAAGCAGAGAGAAAGAGAGAAAAGCTATTCAAAACCATTCAAATATAAAAGATCTATGTTTCTTCTAAGCCTGCCACCCATATGTGGCATAGTAATCAAAATGAGGAATACAGGTAAAATAATAGTGCAGGAAGTTTTAAATGATGTGAGGACAATTGCCTTATCCATAAATATTATTTTCAATCAACAGGGGGTTTATTACTTATATGTCTGCTGTAAATATACTATGACTATCAGACAGGCTTTTCTAGTGAGAAATGAATTTATATCTAAGAGGAAAATCTAGGCCTAAAAACACAGGAAGCCTGGAAATAAGGAAGGCATCCAAACTAATGGGAACATATCTAAAATTGCATATTTTTGGTCATCCTCAAGAATGCTGATTTCTTTTTGTTTAATGTTTTCTGTTTACTAAAGCCATGTAAAATGATTTAATGATCCATCTTTGAGTCTTCATGATAAAAGAATCCTCTTTGATTTGTTTCCTGCCTTCAATGAATTTATAATCTACATATATGTGAAGAGATGTTTCAATAAAAAGCAAAGTATTTACTGAAAATTTTAAGAGTAAGAGAGTGCAATAGAAAAAGAGAGTTCTAGATTATATTAATTATACCAATCTAGACCCAAGAATTTTTTTAGAACACTATATTTCCAAACATTCTACCTCATCTATATATAGGGTGCCCCAAAATTCACGCAAGATTTGAATTTTGCGTGAGCATTAACAACAACAACAACAAATAAAAGCCTAATTTTACTTGGTTTATTGAATCAGATTCTAATATCTGTTGCCCTTTGATTTCAATCCCTTCAATTTGATAAGCATTACCAAGTACCAATTATGCCCCAGGAGCAGGGACAATGAAGACCAATGAAGACCATGGCTTTGCGTATGTGCCAGCAAAGCCGTGGAGGCCATTTGCCCGATGTGCTCTTCCATACACAAAGTATATTGTATACTTTATCAATCAATAAAAAAAATTACAATTTTTAATTATAAACCTGTGTTTTCTATCAAAATTACTTCTTGCGTGAATTTTGGGACACCCTATACTAGAGCCCCAATGCAAGAAATTCATGCATGGGTTGGGTCCCTAGGCCTAGCTGGTGATTAGGGCTGATCTGTGGGATAATCAGGGTGGGTTAGGGGGCCACCACTGTCACCTGCCTTGGCTGGCTTGGGGCTTGTGGGCTGGGGGCAGCTCCTGAGTTGAGCGTCTGCCCCCTGGTGGTCAGTGCACAGCATAGCAACCAGTTGTTCCCCTGGTCGTTCCACTGTTCAGTAGATTTGCATATTAAGCTT